AGCTTTCATTCAATTTATTTATAGATCATACATGTAAGAGCCTCCTTCACTCACCCTGGTTTCTTGCATCTTCATCTTGTGTACGGCAGAACACAACAGCTGAGAACAAAGGCAAAGTCCTGCTGACAATCTCCTCATGAAGCCAGCCACGGGACTCCTCAAAGCATCTACAAGTGCCAGAGATCCGCACTGATTTGGACAGTGTAATAAATTGGCAGATTAACATCGAATTGTGTCCATACCCGGGAATCAGACAGCTGCGTCCAAATTGTCCCTTTAGATAAATGTGTGTTCAACATGTTTTCAGCAAAAGAATTGGATATTTTTGATTTCAAGAGGGTGGTTTCAAACTGGCTCCAATATGCATTAGGGTTAAAAGGACTCAAAAAATTCATATTGTACTACAAATACACTGTTTTTGCTGAGTGGTGCTTTCGTTGCTACAAGTGCAGGTTTGCTACCGGCTGTGATAAAGTGAAGCTACCTTATTGTAACCATAAAGACATTAGTCCTCAGTATTTCTCCTACTTCAACCTGAAAGGAGAAATGGTGAATTCATCTACAACTCGGCCTGGTCATAAGTTAATAGCTTTTATAACTGATGAGCAAAAGCAGGAGTTCAGCCCGGGAGCTCCTAACACTCAGCGCACAAACAAATCTATTTAAATCAATTGGAAAGTAGCATACTCGCACCACAGTTGGCGATAATAAAAGCCTTGCCAATTACAGGACGGCTGAAACTATGTATGAATGGCTCACACAAGCATAATCTTGTGTCCCTTTTTACAATTACGTTCCTTTTTAGAGATCCCTGTGTCTGAAATGTGTCCTGTGAAGACGGGGCTTTCGTTTGTTTAAGTCTGGGACACTGGGGAGATCATAAGCGCCGCGCTCCATAGGCCGTCACCCTGGGAGGCCAGCGTTGAAATCTTATTGATGTATTGCTCTCGACGCAATCACAGTCGACATCTCGGAATCAAAGAATGAGTTATTCATTAACAGAACCACGCGGTTTCCTTTTTCCGTGGACTCAAGTGGTCTTTGTTATACTGCTCACTTATCGATATGGAGCACTTTCTGCAGAATACTATTATGGCAGCTGAGAACTCCATTGCAACTTTTGCCTATTAGCATAGCAATGACTTGTCCGCTGATACAAAAACATGGATTAGCTTACTGTAGAGCCGACATTACCATTTTTATTTCTTTGCTTTAACAATTTGGTGATTGCTCTCCCGTGGAGTTAATTGTAAAATATCAGTTTACAATCATAACATTAATTAAGTGTTGCCTGATGCAATGTTTGAAGCACTTTCAGGTTATACCTTATAAATGTACAGGCTAGTATTCAAAGGGGAATTTATTTTCATTTGTTAAATAAATCATGATCCAAACTTCACAAGTGACAATCAGGTGAAAAAGACACAACCAGGAGTCACCTCAATGCAAAGACATTATTATTGCTATTCTTTAGAAAGTTTTGGATCAGTGGGGGAAAAAACAAAGCTACTAACATGTTTTGATTCATGACAAAGTTTATTTTGAAAAAAAAAATGAATTCAATAATAAATACACTTTTAAAATATGTAGGCTTAAAAATGTATGTGATACTAACCAACCTTCAACCAAAAGTTGTAGAAACTGCCTCCATAGCATAAATAAATGAAAGTGTTACCTTGAAACTCCAGTCACTGAACTCTATCCAGGCTCACGCAGCCATATGCTCCATCCACACTGCTCACTCCCTGCACTGATGCATTGTGGGAATCCGGCATCATCATGGTATGCCTTTTTTTTAAACACCAAGGTCAAGAAAACATGTTGATGCAGTTGGCAACTGGAGATGTTTTCCTGACCTGCTATTCAGAGCCCAGACTTTCAGTGTTTCAAACAAGCAGAAGCAATTTTCAGTAGGTGCTGACTGACCATTAACACCCTGACTCAGCAATGATACATTATTATCCATACTGAGATACTAGTCAGATATATATGTCAGAAAATATGTTAGGAAGATACAAATCATCTATATGTGATTATAATCTAGAAACATTAAATCTAATGTGGCCTTTTGACTTTTACCATAATGGCACATGAGCTATAGATCACTTTGAAAATGTAAAAACTCACGTCTACTGGAGTCCTGCTGTTTTGGCTGAAAGTGTGAATGTGCGTGTGAGAGCCTTTCACAGTCACATTATATTCCATCCTTTACCATGCACAGCTACAGCCAGTACTTATGACTCTAATGTCAATAAGTGCACAAAGGAAACCCACCAATAATGGCTGAATGTATGGCTTGGTTCATATTCCACATGTCGTAGTAATTAGAGCAGTTTTATCCTAATCCAATGGTTTCTTGTTCTCAAAAAGACTTTGGCCCGCTATATTCTTATGTTGAACCATATCAAACATCACATTTTAAATGTAAATGTCATTATAACAAAGTTCTGGCAGAGCAGTGGACCACGGAGATAAGATTTTCTCTTCGTGTACCACAGATAAAGGGGGAAAACAAAAAAAAGAGGAGCAAACAAAGCAACAAACAAAGTGGCTGTGCACCTGTGATGGCAACAACAGGGGATGTGGAGTAATCGCTCAAATGTGACACGCATGAATCACTCTTAAAAACATTTTTGATCGTGAAAACTTGAAAGAAAAACCTTTGTAACACAATTTTAAGGTCTACAAAGTCAATGATTTCTACTATCACCTGTAAAAAGGAAATCCATTGAGTTACTTTCTAATGTACAATATATGGTTTTTATGACACCACCCCATTATATTTCTAAGTGCCTCTAATTCACCTTTCCTTTCATTGAGTTGCCCCAGCTCAGTTGTCCATGAATTTTGAGCTCCTGACACACGTAGAACGGCATGTGTCACCAGCGTGTTTAATAATGCATTCTATATAAATAAATAGACGAGCATGAAACCCCCCCAATCTTTTCTGTTTGTTTCTGCTTCTGCCTGTGTGCACTCTCCATTCTGCTGAAGCATGCAATTCCCCCAAGACAATAGCACATTACCAGCACAGTGACAGCATGCAGAAAAGCCTGGATGAAAACCTCTTTGCCTGGGATATTATCCGTCATTACGACCTGAGCTGAGGAGGCCTAACTAGTTTACCGCTGTCGTTTAGCAAGGAGAAAAATGTTCCATCTCAGCACAATGTACACACTCACAAGGCACAGGTATATGGGACTTACTCGTGAAAGTTCAGGGACAGGGAGGTGTGTGTGCTTGTTATTGGCAGTGTACAGGCACAATGAGACGGACAACTCAACTGCAGCAGCAAATGTTGGTGTCAAAATTCTGGTATGTATTATTTTTCTCTACTGTAACTGTAATAACCTCGACTACGGGCTTCGAGTAGTGTGACTTTTGGGGAGTATATTATGGGCTATCTGTCAAATGCATGTATTTGTAAAGTGCATAAGAACTGAATGAAGAATGAGTTGATTATAGATCAATAGATCCTTTATCATTTCTGACAAACAAAAGTGTAAACAGAACAGAGCTACACAAATCTGCTGGAGGACTAAAGCAGAGGATATTTCAGTCTTTGAGACAAGAGTCTTGAAGTCTCCAATCTTTCCCATTTTATGTGAGTTTATGTACATATGCACATGGGAGATTTAGCTTTCTACACAAGTGTACACACTCCTGCATAACACTGCCATCTGCTGTCGGTCACACAGATCGTGTGTGTGTGTGTGTGTGTGCTGCAAGTGTGTGTAATCCATTCAGAAGAAGAACTCTGAGGGGAGTCAAAATATAGATCTGATCCTATGACTACTTTACATCCATCAACTTTATTTACAACTTGAATACAGTTCAGCATTGTTGGGGTAAGTTTTATGGCACATTTTAATGTGACCTACAAACACTGGCTGTGTTTAACAGACACCTCACACAGTCTGGATGATTCCCATTGTGGCTGTATTTCTTTTACTCATATGGAGATAAAAGGAGCTTCAATGCTTTAAAGTATGTGCAGATTGAATATATATATATATATATATATATATATATATATATATATATATATATATATATATATATAATGTTTAAGGGAGATCTGGTTTGACTGAGGCGGAGTGTCATGTTGAAAAGACTGTCATGTGATAACGGTGTGTGTTCACAGAGCATATCTCTGCAGCTCAGGTAATGATGGTGTCAGAACACAGCGGCTTAACTCCCGCAGCAGTGTGAGCCGCAGCAGTGTGAGCCGCAGCAGTGTGAGCCGCATTAGTGTGAGCCGCATCAGTGTGAGCCGCAGCAGTGTGAGCCGCAGCAGTGTGAGCCGCATCAGTGTGAGCCGCAGCAGTGTGAGCCGCAGCAGTGTGAGCCGCAGCAGTGTGAGCCGCAGCAGTGTGAGCCGCATTAGTGTGAGCCGCATCAGTGTGAGCCGCAGCAGTGTGAGCCGCAGCAGTGTGAGCCGCAGCAGTGTGAGCCGCATCAGTGTGAGCCGCATCAGTGTGAGCCGCATCAGTGTGAGCCGCAGCAGTGTGAGCCGCAGCAGTGTGAGCCGCATTAGTGTGAGCCGCAGCAGTGTGAGCCGCAGCAGTGTGAGCCGCAGCAGTGTGAGCCGCAGCAGTGTGAGCCGCAGCAGTGTGAGCCGCAGCAGTGTGAGCCGCAGCAGTGTGAGCCGCAGCAGTGTGAGCCGCATCAGTGTGAGCCGCATCAGCGTGAGCCGCAGCAGCGTGAGCCGCAGCAGTGTGAGCCGCAGCAGTGTGAGCCGCAGCAGTGTGAGCCACAGCAGTGCTCTTAGAGCAACAACAGGAGCAGAACTGGACATGCACGTGCAAATAAGATCACTCATCAGAAAGAAATGAATGAATTGAAGAAATGTCACCGCTGTGAAATAAATTTAACAACAGCCATTTTAAAGACTTTGATATTGTTTAGAAGTAACCTAAACAATATTCATAAGCCGCAAGCGGCAATAAAAGCCCATCACACCTTTTTGTGGCAGCCTCCCATGTGTGACACTTTCCCCCTCAAACCATCAGCCAGGCCTCTCTGTCCACCGCCTTCTCCTGCACAAGAAGTGCTGATAAACTCTGAAATGGACCATGACAGCTTTACAAATTATACAGGATTATTTAAAGTTTTTTATAAGTAAATTGGCATCGACTACTGTCTATATACTGTAGATGTTGAAGATCAATAGTATTTGAATGTGAAAAGTCATTGTCCCCTTAGTCCAAACATGAATACACAGTCATTCGTAATAGTGATTACAGATGCATGAAACAAAGCCGTTTCATAAATATCATAATTTTTGAAAGAGCTGGTGTTGAAAAGTTTGAAGTCAATGACAAGAAAATCATACCGTACATTTGTGTCAATGTCCCAATATTTTTGGACCTCAATGTAGTATGTTATACTAATTTAACCACTTAACTCTTAGTCGTTTGATCTCACCTCGTGTCTTTTGGCCTATGGTTGATGGTCACATACGGAATACACAGATTTATTCAGGGCAGAACTGTCTCGAGGAGGAGCTACTCAAGCTCAAACCCATGACTAGTTTTCAGCGCTGGTATAAAAACACTTGTGGGATAAATGCAAGATTATCAGTGAAAAAAAGGGAAAGAAAAGCATATTTTTAGCAGTATATATTTTTCTAAACCCAAAAACGTAGCGTCATACCTCATTATTGAAATTCGAAACATTTTTGCATTTTTCAGAAGCTCATATTGACAAATGACACATTGCTGCAGGTCAGATCAATGGCGGCCTCCTTGGAAACAGCCCTTGTATATTTCAGGCTGATTTAAAGCTAAGTGTGTGTGTGCGTGGCAGCGGGCGGTGGAGATTGGAGGAGCTGACTTTCTCCAATGCCTCAGGCTTCACGGGGGACCTCCAGGAACGCTACAGGCATCTTTAAGGCCAGAGGAAGAAAGAGACAAGCAGAGAGGGAGAGAAGTGCACCAGAGTTCAGAGCTAAGTGTGTGATCAGGCCGCCTCAGAGAGCGCGCAAAAGCAACTCCCAGTCAATAATTATCTTCATTTCCCAGCGGTTCACAGGAAACACCAAAGACAAGCAGAAGGTCAGCGTTGTAAATAAATGCTTAGTAAAGTGTAAATGCAAACATGGCCGCAGTATGTTTTCAGACATGGGTGAGAGGGGATTGGGATAATATACTGTAAGCCTTTGCTTCATTCAAACCACTTTCAAACCACTTCTACTACAAGTGTTTACAGTATGTTGAAGTGGAAATGATGTTGTGCAGGTTTATAAATAGTAAATAAATAGTCCACTCTAATCCAAACCAATGATGGTTCTGCATATCAAAAAACACAATGAAGTCATTATCTTTTTGGCCTGATGAGTGTCCATATGGGGCAGCAATGGCATATTGTTCCAGTGCATCCAGCCGTTGTATCTCTGGGCCAACTACTTCTTGTCCTCAAACAGGTTATGCTACCATCAGACATGACATTATGGAAAATGTAATACTATTGTTGAATAAATATTTAAATGTAACCAATAGAATGAGAGTGTGTAGAAAAAAAGACAGGGTTACACTGCTAACACACTGAATCTACTACCCCCCTCCCCACAGCATAATATGTTTGCCATAAATCTCCCAAAAGAGCAGGCTTACATGTGAGTGGCACGCTCCGTGAGGGCTGGGCATGAAGTGGCCCTTGTTGCGGGCGAAGCGTGCGTTGGCTCAGATAACAAGTTTAGAGAGAAAACCTTGTGGCAGATCGATGCTGGCATGCTGATGAGGCCCAGCGCAGGTGTAGCCAGAGGCGCTGCGATAATGGCCCGAGCACGCACAATCATTCTGGAGCAAAGAAAGTTCAGGAGGAATTAATGAAAAACATCAAACAACAGCAGTTGAGACCTGGAAGGTACTCAAGGCACTACAGAGTTCAAATGTGATGGAGATTTCTGCTTACAGGAAATCCAAACCACACTGCACCACTTCATTGAAAAATGAGGTTGTGTTTTTTTTTTTGGCAAGACACAATATTCTCATTCACAAACAGTTCAATCCGCCCAGTTATCTTCATTTGTGGAGTTTGCATGTTCTTCTTGTGTGAAGATGGGTTTAAGATAAGATAAGAAAACCTTTATTCGTCCCACAGTAGGGGAATTTCAACGTTGCAGCGCACATACAGGACATTAAGAAGAGCACACAAATTATACAATATAAGTAGCTGCTATGTTTCTTAGCTAGCTGTAAATGTATTTATTATATGACTTGGACCGTACGCGCGCTCTGATTGGCTGATTACCGGTCTGATATTTTCCCATCTCGGGCCGTTACCATGACAATTGGTCCGAACAGCGCGTATCACATTTGATATCTTTCCTCGGACCGTTACCATGACAATCTGTCCACAGCCCGTATCACACAAACCAAGTCGGACATGATCATACTTCACAAATATCTCAAAAGCATTGATAAAGACACAGACGAGAGTCATATAATAAAACATTTATTAACCTTGCTTGCTCGGTCTGTACAGAGAAATATCAGACCTTGGCCTTTTTGCACAGACCTCGCTGTGGTCTGATATTTCTCGCGATCGGTTAATAAGCTTTTAATATCAATATATCTCTATCTCTATGGATATATCGATATCCACCAATATTTATATTCAATGATTTAGATTTAAATACAGCACACGTCAATACATTTCTATTTTCTGTCATCCATGTACCAACATCTATGAAAATATGAAATTCTATATTTTATCATGAATTGTTTTCATAAAAAGCCTTTTGTATAATGTTTAGCCTGTCTAGTGAATTCAGGGAAGATTCAAGGACAAGATTTCTGTGATATAAGTGTCATTTTAGGAACAGCATGCCTCTCTTATCGGGACACATGCCATGAGACCCAAAACGGGACTAGACCAGACCCAGACCAGGGCCTCAGTCTCAACATATGACGTAATCGGAGGCACTTTCTATTCTTCTGGACATTTTCATAAAACTGTGGGTAGGACATTTTGTTAGCAGTCTGAGCAGGGACAGAGGGAGGACCATCGCAGTTACAATTGCTCAGCTCATAGGGTTAGTTAGGGAACTTATAGCTCCGAGAGTTTAGTGTTATTATTTAATTGTAAAGATAATTAAATATTGTTCTATTTTTTTATTCTTGAATGCTTGGTCTTATTTCTTAATCAAATCTTGAAACGCATCCGTCAATTTTGACAATATTATATAGTGCAAAGTTATATAAATAGAGGGCAGGGTAAAAGGAGATTCTGTAGTTTCCTAACGTAACTTGTGCAGTATACTTGGGACTCACAACACAAACAATCATTCTTATTGCTATATGTTGGTTACTGTATGTGACATTGCAAAGTCCGATCACATTTTGGCGATGACACCTGCTTTAAAATGTATAAATAATGTCTGTGGTAAATGCATGTTCCAATCGTTTTGCGTTTCAGCCTCTTTGTGATAACGCATCAGAAATGAAGAGATTATTCACAAAGGCTGAGACACGACAGACGATAAGCAGACTGTTGTACTCTTTGAGCTCTGCCGTCTGTCTGAGGGTTGTATTGTATCTGCCCAGTCAGTCTCTCCCTCATGCACACTGCCCCACTTCTGCAGTGGTCCCCATCTGGTTTGACAATCTGTTTTGATGGAAATGACTTTTTCTAGACACAGTGTTCTTCTATTGTCTCTGCAAGTTTGAATGCATGCATATTGTTGATATAAGTCTTAATAATAATGAAAGTATGATTTAATTGGCCGAACTGGCTTCTTGCATAATGTCAAAAGGCAGTCAATCTGTAATTTGTCAACTCAAGTCTATACTTGTTTACTGGCCACAGAGTATAGCTGGCTACTTGAGGTGCCTAATCCGGAGGTTCTTTATGAATCCAGACTCTTAAATCCAGATCTTAAAATAATCAGTGACTCTGATGGCCCTTGGAAAAGCCATGTTCCAGCTTCTTCCCTCTGGCAGAAGGGTATTGTTTGCTGAGACGCAGCTGAGAACAAAGCACTGTAATCATTTGGCACTTTTTATTTAAACTGTTTTTGTTGATTGGTTTCACAGGGAAAATTGTTTCTTGTACTTTTTGGCTTTTTTATGTACTTTCTGTCTACCTGTGCTTCCTACTGTCCTTTTAAAGTCAACACAGGCAGACTACATAAACCTTGTGCACAGATTGTGTACTACAGAGGTGCAAGATAGATACATGTTTTATTGATCCCCAAGGAAATGTCCATTAGTCCCTTATTAAAAACCCTTTTCTGTCATGGTGTGGACTTTTTGGATTATTTTAACCTGTTTTTATTTACTTTATTTTTTCTCTTGTATTTTGAGTTTGATTCCTGTCTGTCCGGTTGATTGTTAGCCCCGCCCTAATGTCATCCACCTGTCTCTCCTGTGTGTATTTGTTGTCTGTCCATTGTCTCTACCATGTTTGTCCTGCATGTCTAGTTTTTCAGTTCTGGATTTTTGTTCTTTTTGTCACTCTGGATGTGAATTTTATTAAATTACATTTGATTTTCAGTCCTGCATTTTGGGTTCCCTTTTTCTTCATTTCCCCCCCGTGACATTTTCAGGCCACACAAGTGTCTAGTCTGATGTTACTTTAGATCAGCAAACATGGCATCGTTCTAACCTGGTTTTAGTTTCTCGTCTAAAATTTTGCTGGATCACAAAACATCTAAAAACATGCATTCTTACTTATGGCAAGGCACATTTATTTATGTAGCACAGTTCATACACAAGGCAACTCAATGACCTGCTCAAGTTATTGAAATCATACAAGGCATTCAAGTTTAACATTATAACAGTACAATAAAAATAGTAAGATACATTCCTTCAGTTGAACACAAACAACAACTGTCACTCGCTGATTTTTTTGTTTTTTTACAGAAATTCATATTGTTTATCGTCATGTATGGAATATTCTAGCCACAGCAAAGTCTGCACTATAATTGACAAAAAGCAGGCGCAGTAAATACTAGAGCAAAACGCATTATAAATCTCTACACATTTGCCCAAAGTTTCCTTCTGCGATGCATCTCACCGTCTTACCTTTATGGATTTGTTCAAAGCGTAAACACAGTTAAGAGAGTCAGCAAAAAATACAACAAAATAAGTAGGGCTGGTGTACCTCCCCCTCGCGGCCCCTCCCACCTTCCTCTCTGTGGAATAAGTGCGGCTGCCATCACAAACACACGCCTCTGTCAACAACCGCCAATGCATCTTCAGACGGCAGCGGCCCGGCAGAGCGAGAGGCGCAGACGCACGAGAAACACGCCGCATTGTGAATCCTCTTTTGTGTCCGCTCCTTCTTTTACATCGCAAAGTTTCGCAGTGGTTTTTTATTGCAAAGGTGCTGTGTTTATTCGACTCCCAGTGCGCCCTACTCTTGCACTACATTTTTTTTCTCTCCCTTCACTCTTGTTCACTGGCTGGATTTCAGCAGTCTGCCGGATGATTCCTACAAAAACTATGTCAATATGGTGATTATTTATATGTCAGCATAGTGTCAGGTATCCTTATGATCTATAATAGCATGTATACAGTATAATCTTTTATCAATGTTTTATCATATCTGTGCAATGTATTAAGTGCTTACTGGTCCCTGTTACTCCAGATACATGTATTAATTTTAGACCATTCAATAGTTATTATATTAATCTGATTTAGTATCACCTGGGAGTGGTGGTCAGCTGCGGGAGTCTGGCTCTGGACCTGGTAGAGGTTTGGAGTCTTCTCTCTCCTCTGGGTTCTGTGACGTCCCCTGTGGCAGCTCTCTGCTTCTGGTGCAGACAGCTCCTAAGATGGTGCTTCCTCGGCTGGTTTTGACCTACCCTCAGCTCGGCTTTTTGATTCATTTACTTTAATTTATTTACTTATGTTTTCATTTAGTGTGCGTGTGTGTGTGTGTGGGTGTGTGTTTGTGTGTGTGGGTGTGTGTTTGTGTGTGTTTTTTTGTGTAAGTTTAGTTAGGACCTTTTTGGGGACTTCAACCAGTAAACACACCAGTAGACTGGGGACAAAATTGTGTGTGTGTGTGTGTGTGTGTGTGTGTGACTGGGACTGTGTGTTTTTCCGTGTGGGTCTGTAATTTGATGTTTTTCTGTATGCATTGTGAAGCATTTTTGTTCCATTCTCCATCAGTCTTAAGTGCTCTACAAATAAATATTGATGGTTTGATAAATAGTTTTAAGGCCTTGCAGAAGTGTGTTTCTATAGCAACTCTTTCACATGTACAATATTCCAGTCTTTTTGAGCCACCAGTGGATGATCACCATGTCAGACCTCAGACCTGGCTTCAAACTGCTCTGTGTAGAAAGCCTTTAGATTTCGAGAACAGTGAGACCGTGGGCAGGAGGGACCAAAAGGAGGGTCTGATTTGCACATTACAAGAAAAGGTTGTGTTTATGCGTCGCAGCATATAAAAAGAACGTTGTGGTGTAGTAACAAAGGTAAAATGTGCTTAGCTCTCCTGATGATTTATTTCACCGTGGTTTGGAAACAGAACAAGAGCAGTCGGTGGAGTCCAGAGGTATTCCGCACTTTCTCACATATTTATCACCATGAAATTATTCACTAGCATGACTTTATGAGCACAAGTTTCAACAGGAGATAACGCATACAATACAGACGGCTATCTCCTTTCTCTCTTTACAACATTAAGTGGAACTAGCAGAACTAATTGTTATTAATTACTTGGGGTAGATTGTCGTATGAACTACTGAGGACCAAGCATCTTTTAAAGTGTAGAGCAAATTATTGAAATCTGATTACGAATAACACAAGCATATACAGTATCTCTCCTGAGTAACTAGATTGTGCATAAAGCAGATCTGTTAGAATGTGATCAATTATAAAATAAAATGGCTTCTACTAGCACACGATGTTCTGCTTATGTAGGATCAAAACCAAGGCACATTTTTGCAATTTTGAGACATGAGAGAGAGAGGAGAGACATGAGAGAGAGAGGAGAGACATGAGAGAGAGAGGAGAAACATGAGAGAGAAGAGACATGAGAGAGAGAGGAGAGACATGAGAGAGAGAGAGGAGAGACAGAGAGAGAGGGGAGACATGAGAGAGAGAGGAGACATGAGAGAGAGAGGAGAGACATGAGAGAGAGGAGAGACATGAGAGAGAGGAGACATCCAACTGCACCTCCTTTCAGCACGCCTACAATGTAATTCTCTTCTTTACCCCTGCATGCTCCTGTTCCCTCTAACTTCTCGTCCCTGATGAATCAAATTGCGAGATTATAAAACACATAAAAAAAAGAAGCTTGCCTTTCAGAGAGCTTAAATCAATCTGATGTTAAATTTACACAGAAAGGCGCCCTGGGATATTTGGAGTATGAAGCCGCCACTGTCTCTCACATTGGGATGTTGGGGGAAAACCGGATTTGGGGAAAACAAGCGTGAAATGCCACAGCCTCAATTACAGTTTGATTGAGGGGGATCCAGCAGTGTGTGTGTGTATGTGTTGGAATGTGTGTATTGTCATTCAGAAAGAGAGAGGAGGATGTAATGGACAAACAGGCATTACACGGGTCCTCCAGACTGAGATGCTTTTATTTACAGTGTCACCGGGACAACAGCTGTATTACTGCTGTCAGCGTCACTTGGGTCTATGTGGCGAGCAGAGACCCGGGGATTCAAGCCAACAAGAACCGATTACATACACAACACACTAGAAATGAACACAGTATTTTTATAGAGTTTTCCGGTTTGTCGATGCAGGAGGGTCAAAGGACTGTGGTGATGATCCAGGACACTCGATATTGAACAACATTTATGGACATTTATTGACATTTATAGACATTGGTCATCTGCCCCCGTAGGGACCAACGGCTCTATGTGTTTTTTATCGTTGCAATTTTGTTTGATTCTGTGTTCGGGGTTGGCAAATTCATCGGATTTGTTATGCCCTGCAAGAAAACTAGAATAAATTTAATGGAAATGAATTGAGTATTATATTAAAAACCACCTTGTATAACACCATGCCTGAATCAGACTTTTTTTTATTGTCATTGTAAGTAACGACTCGGAATTTGCCTTGGCATATGACGCAAATAGGTTATAAAAGAAAATAGATGGACAAAAACTAACATATAGATACACACAACGTATTGCTTCTTGTTTCTGTCATCACTGTGAGGGGAGTGAATGGAAATTACTGCTACCATAAAATTGTAAAGGAGTTGTGGTGACCTTGGTCTGTGAAATGCGCTATATAATTAAAGGTTTTAAACAGCTGCAGTGAACTAGTCTGAATAAATGGACCAACACTGATCAAACGTTACCTCAGGTCAACTTGACAAATGTACAAAATTTCTGACGCACAACATATTTTATGCATATTCTCTCAGTCCACTAAAGTTTCAAATCTTTGTACAATGTGACTATTGACTCAAAATGCCAACATGTAAAACCTCTGTAACTCTGTAATCAATTTTGGAAGCAAATAACCAGCTCTGTGTGAACGCTCCTGTTGTCTCTGGCGTCGGATCCACCACTCTGTGCACCAATTATCAACAGTAGAACCAATAAATGCTTGCTATATCTCACTTCTTTGTGTGCAATGAGTCTGTCAAATTTGTAAAGATTGACTTTCCACCTGTGCATGCAACTCCCACAGGTTACAGTAGATTGTATGTAAATTAAAACTTGGGACACATTTATTGAAATGATTGAGATGTGAAAATGACATTGACATGTTATTTATGAATACTTAAATACTCAAAAGAAGTTCATACTTTGTTTTTGGTGCCAAGTCATTCACCAAAGAGAGGGGTCAATCAAAATCTCCATAAAAATATACCCAAAAGTCATAATTGAACTACAATGTCTGATAACTTTTAATGCATGCAGAAGTGAAATGATGCCGGCCGGAATATGAAACTCCAGATTTTACTCAATATAAAGCTCTCTGCTAATTATTAAAGAAAAATCCTAATATGGATAGTTTCAGTCATGTTCGTGTGGTAGAAAATCCTGCAGTAAGCCCGGGTTTATTCCTGATTAGAATTCTAAAGAGGTAGTTTCCATGTGCCAGGAGCGCCCACCTCAGCCTGCCGTGTTTTTGTCTCCGCTCTGCTGTCCGACCCACGGCCCCTGCACACTTAAGCTCTAAGTGAGGGGCCGTGGCAGGGCTCAGGGCTCAAAGACAGGCGCATCATTAGGGAGTGCAGTCCTTGGCCTCGGGGGAGGGATGACAGTCCATCACGGCTCACTTTAGATCTGCAAAATCAAAGAGGAGTGTGAGAAGTATGAATAGAAATACTGCACTTATTGGTTTAATTCAGAAGAAGCTTGATAGATCTTTGTTCCGATACATGAAAGCTGTACTGTGGAACTTTTCCAGTGAGAGGCTTTGTCACCTCCTCATCGCCATGGAAACACAACAAAAGTTACATTATCAATCTTGAAAAATATGCATTCTTTAAGTGATCACAGATTTTATGTTTAAGTTGGTTGTCTTGATGTAAAATATAATTAAAATATCCCAGATCAAGCAAAAAACAAAACATTTTCATTGGAGTGAAGGAAACAATATTGTACGTTGCATATTTTGTTCGTAAAATAATTCATATATTTGAAGCTTTTACGTCAGATCAGATTCAGATTCCGTTTATTCACTATTTGCACAAAAAAAACCATGATACATTTGCAAAAGGACCACAATGTGCACCAGACAAGTGCCTAAAATAAAACAAGCAAAAAAGTACAAGAAACCATTGTCACTTTGATCCCATTCAACAGAAACAGTTTCTGCACAATAGGTCTGGTATGTGCCTCCTGGACGGCTCTGCTCCCATCACTGAGTGGAGTGAGAGGACAGATGCCCACAACAAATGCTAAGTGCTTTCTGACTGTCTGTGAAAGGTGCTATACATAAGGATTACTTACTTAGTTACTTCTGTAATCTTGTCATAACCAGGGATCAAATTGGCAATAGGCTGCAACATAAAGCCAAACCACAATGCTTTTGTTAATGGGATATAGAAAGATGACTGTTTCTCCCCAAAATATGAAATGGAGGGATAATGATCCGTCAATGCTGGCAAAAAAAGAAGAAAAAAATAAAAACAATTAAATATGTTGCATAAAAATACGTAAACCAAGACCCTTCTGCAGACATTACATTTGTTGTTGACATGTCTGTTTTATTGTAGAGAAAATATTAAACTTAAATTTCCGCAACTTTTGTTTTTCTTTTATTCTTTCTTGCTATTGATTTTGGTAACGCTACCTTTTTTCATATTTCTGAAAAAAAAAGAATAAAAATAT